ATTAGATTAATTGGTCATCCACCAAAGAATAAAATGGATAAAAGCCTTCTGAATGGAATGGAGCACAAATGCCATTATCTCTAACCTAATGGTGTTGAGAAGCAGCTGTATCCTTCATCTGTCTGGGAGCAGGGTGTGGGGTGATTTGCACAGCTGTACAGACAGGACCAGTATGCACCAGTGGTGGTGGGAGAAGGGGTGGGAACCCGTTTCACTCCCCTTCTTGGCCCTTTGCTTAAAGTGAGTGTGCCCTTACTAACAAAGGGTGTGTCGCTTGCTACAAGCCGGCACAACGACCACCGTGTTTGCAACCAGCTGGAAACTGTGATTTAACCTATCGGGGCAAATCAAAGAGTGCTGGAACTGGATCATCCGCTCTGCTCAGGGTGGCAGTGTGCTCCTGGTGCATTCACATCCTGTGCCAGCTCCACCACAGTGTCAACAGAGCCTCAAGGCAGCACTGCAACACTGGGACTTTTACCATGGGGACAGCTGTGACAGGATCAACCCTGTTTTGGAGACTGAGAGACTCATCCCTCCAGCTTGTTTCACACCACAGTGTATTCCTGAGCATGTTTAATTTAGAACTAGTGCAATTTTGGCCAAAGTCAGCTCTGAAACAGAAATAAATGTATCTGTACTTAGGCAGTGCTTGAGCCCAAGCTAATAAAACCTGCTGAGGGGCAGGATGTATTAGCTTGGGTTCAATGCTGTGCTAACATGGCTGTATGGCTTCCAGATGGCCCAGAATTTAGTCAGAGCTATTGCCTGCCAAAGTCCATATATATATCAATATAAATACATATTTCCTAAGTTCCCCCACTATAAGGACAGTAATGAAGGTGACATTTCTCCTAATACTTTGCCTTGTAAATACCAGATCCATCAAGAGGTTTAAAGGTAACAACCCAGCAGCATCCCCCAGAGTACTTGATAGCTACCATGGCCATGTAAGTGAGGTGCCAAAGTGGTCTAGGGGCCACTGTGGGATAAATTAATGACATTTAGTGTGGTAATGGTGAGGCCAAAACAACATCAAATATATAGCCAAGTACGTGAAGAGGCCAGTGTGCTGCCACAGGTTGTCAAGCCTTGAAAGCAAACCAGCGACTCCACACCACACCAAGAAAGCTGCCTTTCTGAAGGAGAAAGGGACCTTGCAAGATCCAGGCTAAAAGGAAGAGAGGGTAAAAAAGAGAGACTGTGGTTTTTAGTTTCTTCCCCAGCATCTCTGGAGAAGAATTTCACCAATCCTTCATGCAGCATGTAGGGTTAAGAACCAAACACCCTTCCATGGGGCACACATCAGAGCATACCCAAATTCATGCTGAAGGGGAAATTAGCCTTCCATAGGCTTCAATTGAACCTAGTTTTTTCTAAGTTTGCTTTTGCTTGGAGGAAAAAAAAATACATGAAGTAATAGTCAGTCAGTGAGCTGAGGGTTCCTGCTGCCTGCCCACCTCAAAAAGCAGGAAAGCCCAAAGAAACCTTCTATGGGACTATGTGGTAACAGAAATCTTTATCTTTGTTTTTTCAAAGTAGACACCAGTTTCTTCCTTTGGTATGCTGGTAGATGAAAAATAAGTGAGAGCTGCAGTAATCTAATAAAAGTCACAGAACTATATGACTGTGGGCCTACTCACGATGTTGTGCTGAGAGCTGTGTATTTGGAATCCATTTTACTCTGTGGATCACCACCAATCACACTGCATGTTACCTCCCTCTTCCTTTCTCTCTAACAACTCTAGGTTCTTCTCAGCAATGGTAAAAATAGAAAAAGCATTAATCCTATAGCTGTTTATACCACTTCAGCAATAGTGATGCTCAGAACACTGCTAACATCCACTTATATAAATGATAAAAGTTAATACAAAGGTGCTGATTCACTAGAACAAGTTCTAACTCATAGGAGATGTGGTATATTTACAGGAAAATATTGCCTGGAGCTTTTCAAATTGTTTGTGCATCTGTATTGATTTTATGCTGCAATTCATCCAACACTCATGCATCCATCAGCATGAAAAATCACCTCTCATTTGTATCATGACAGAGAGTTTTGGTGTCAAAAGTAGGGAATCGGCCAGAAGGGGATGCTGCAGAATATTGAGGATACATTAAAAAAGAGAATCAAAAAAACCTGATCCTTAATTTACCACAGCCCCAGGGAAAGAGTGCATTATATGTTGACAGCTTCCATATGTGTCATGCAAACCTTTATTCTTACTGTTCAAAATAAAATGTCCCATTAAGAGAAAAAGTCTACATTTCATACTAAAATGAGACGTATGATACCAAATACTGTCCTAAAGAAAAAATAAAACACATTCCAGTGTCATATGGTCTTTTATACTTTTTTCAGGATTTTCAAAGGGAGAAAAATATGAATTACAACAACCAGACATTTTTCCAAAGACTTTTTTTCACACTGTTATATTAGTTACAATTTTTTTTAAAATTCCTTATGAAGAAATCATTGTGTGTGCACCATCTTCAGGGATGCAAAGAAATATATCCACACAAGTAATTGCCAAAAATGTCTCTTGATAGATAACTGTAAGAAAGATTACTTTTAATGATAGTGATAACAATATAGCAGCACCCTGCAGTCTTAGCAACTGTTGGTGCCCCATATTGGCTGTATGACTAAATCTAAAAATTAGTATGTATTTACAGACTTGATTATCCAGGACCCCACTGTAGCACTGGAATAACTCAATCAGGGATCCTCTTACTTAACAGAATCCCATTTAGTTTAATGATCTGTTGCAATAGAAAGGTTAATGGATCAGGTCTTATCATAAACATGTCTCCAGTTATGGGGACAGAAGTACTATGCCTCCTGTAAACTCAGCTGACAGCTGGAGGCATGAAGAAATGTGTTTCAGACCTGCATGGCCTGAAGTTCAGTCGAGCCAAGGGAAGGGTTTTCAGTTGATTTGAACCAGTCCCTGAGCTCTCACAGAGAACTGGTTGGAAGAGAGGTGGGTGGGGTTCTCTGGGTTACGAACCGAGTCTGCTACATACTGAGTCATATAAAAATTCATGTTCCATATGTACACAAACGTGTCATTCAACTGCTGGTGTTTCTAATAGCTTCCAGAAGTAACAGCAACCCAATAAAAATAATCAAAGCCTTAAGAGCAAAATTGTAAGAGCGTGAAAGGATGATTTTGCTTGTGCTAAGCTGAAGTGTTGTAGCACAGGTCTATCCCATAGTTTTGAAAACTTTAGTCCCTAGAAGTGGACTCCTTGTACAAGTGAAAAAGGGAAGACAAAGTGAGGGAAAAGGCGAATTCCTTCATAAGTCAAATAAGTAAGGTGCAAAAGGTAAAGCTGTTTGTGACTTTTGAATTTAAATAGAAAATTATCTATCACCTTTCCAGTCTTGGGAGTAGGATAGGGGAAATATTTACATGAGCTATTCTTTTACAATTTCTTCAGTGTATTAACCTAAAGGTTTCCTTTTACCCGTACAAACTTTCCTGTAGTTTACCAAACGGATGTAATTTTGAGACTAGAACCAACAAATTGCTGGTTGCAGGGTTTCTTAATGAATGCCTTTCATGGATATTTAATTTTCAACAATTTCTGTGTTCAAATCTCCTGGAAAAAAAAAAAAAAAAAAAAAGTCAAGGATGGAATTTATTCTGGAGTAGGAAAGCTGGCCAGAAGCCAGCCCACCTAATTTGGATTCCTGACGGAGGTGTCACCTCCCCAGAATTGTAAGAGCTTTAAAATGGCCTCACTAAACCAGGCTGCCTGAGAGAACGACTCCCCATGCAGCCCAGGCTCAGGAGTGGTGCTTTTGAAGGATGGATGAAGGCAGCAATGTGGTCTGCCTTGCCCCGGTCCTCCCCTTGTCCACTGGCTGTGCTCGGACTGTGAGGTAACATTAGGTGAAATGGCCATGAGCTTCGGTGCAAGCCTGCCAGCCCTCCTCTTCAGCATTGTGCCTAAAGGACAGTTTTTGTGTAACTCTCCGGTAGCCAGGGCACTTGCTGAAAAAGTATGAGAAACTTTGTTCACAGCCCAGCTGAGCCTGAGGGAGAATTTAGATCAAAACCAATGAGAAAATGTAGCCAGAACAAAGAAGAAAAAAAATATTAATCCTTACACCAGGGTTTCTTCTGCTACTCATTAACATTATGTCAGCTAAGGTTTAGATTAACTGGCATCATAGATCCCTTGACCTCTGGCATAAAAAGCTTTTTGACAAAAAGAGTTTAAATCTGAGTTTGCTTGTAAAGTGGTATGGATTAACTGAACCATCACAGAAAAAACAGTATATAAGTCTCTTTTTATTAGTTTCTAAAGAAGTCTAAGTAAAGAACATTTCTTCTAAAAATATTGTTTTGCTGAGATGCATTTTCAAATTTAATGAAGAGCATAACTATGAATAATGCAGTAGCCCAGTCAATTTGTACTAAAACCTCCATGGCTCAAAACTTCAGTTTTGATAGTGGTTTTTTCTAATTTTCTGTTAACCAAAATTTTCAGAATTTCTAATTTTTAACCATTTCAAGGTTAAAAAAAACCTTTTTTTTTTTTCAAATTAAAGAAAACCAATTCCCACAATATCCTATTGTTAGCCTTTCTTCAACATCAACAGTATCAACAGGTGCTATACCTTCTTAATGGCTCTGAGGTTTATTCTATAACTTTCTCCTTGCCTCAGCCCAAAAAGTTCTGCAAATCTGTCTGATTTTCTGAATGTAATCATCAGTCATAGAACATTAAAATGGATCTTAATTTTGTATGTAGGAGCTCTTATCCTGAACCCAATTTCACTTGATTCAGTTAATTTATAATCACAATATCCTACAGAATTGAAAATAATAGAAAATTTGCAGACTACATTAACAGCAAGATAAGATTGGTATTATTTGCTTATAAACTCTCAGTGAATTGTCATCCAGTCAAGTTAAAAAAGACCCATCAAGAAAAAAGTCCTAGCAAGACAAGATTACACATGGCTTTATGATCTGTAGTTTGGATCTTACCATCCCCAGTTTCAGCGCAGAGTTGCAAGCCCAGGTTGTTCTGTGGATTAATCACCCAGTGATTGCTGGTCGCAGTAATGTCAAAGACAAACCAGCCCACATCAGAAGCTTGAGCCTTTCTTGTGTCTAACAGGAACAAGTCTGCATCCCTAAGTTAAAGAAAATAGAGAGTTAAGGCATTCACATATTAGCTTTGTCCCTAATTTTCTTGCTGGCAATAATTTCTTGGAGTACAAATTAATAATTCTTCGACATATCCTCATTATGGCATAGTACAGCATGTGCTGTAGCTAACAGGTCATTGTTAAGTATAATACAGGTATTTCCCCTAAGAGGCATTTCTGAAATGAGTTTCAGCATGTAAAAATGATAGCTCTGGAAAATCTGAAAAATACAATTTCCTGATACAACTACACAAAAAACATAACTTAGGCTATGTATAAAAAATTCATCTTTCAACATTATAATGTCTCAGGAAGATTCAATTTTATAAACTTTTCAGCATAAAAGACAAAAAAAGTCAAAATCACTTCCCATTTTCAACTAAAACTCAGAGGCATAGCATTGCTAAAAAGATCTGTTGTTAATAACACATGACGGCAGCTATATCCTGTGACAAAACATGAAGAGATGGCAGTTCAGACCGTTTCCTATTACTACAGATGTTTAGAAAATAAGTTTCTATATCAAAGCAGAAATTACATATCTATTCAACATTTTAACCCTCAGTTCCCTGGTATATTTTCAGATTTGTTCCCATGAAATCTTCCAGTAATTCAGAAGGGCTGCTCATGGGAGTTAGTGTAATTGTGTTACTAAATTTTTAGCATGGGTCATTTATTTGTTCTGTTTCCACATATCTCATGACACAATTGGTTCCAGATCATCATCTGTATTACAAATAATTTACTACAATGACCAGACTAAACCCAAGATATTTAACTCTCATCAGTTTCATTTTACACACTTCTACAAAGCAGAATGCATTATTAAAAACTGTTTTCACCATTTAACCTTTTAAACTTAAATCTATAGTTATAGAAGACTATTTTTATGCCATAAATAGTAGTCAAAACAGTAAGTTACAAGAAAAAAAGTTTTATTCTAATTTTTTACTGTACAAGTCAGCTAAAGTCAGACTTGGCTCACATAGATCTGGGAATTGTACCATTGTCTTACAGACAGAATGAATACATGCTTAAAGAGGAAAGACAGAACAGGCTTTGTGTGAAAAAGTGGATTTAAAATTGCTAGTGTCTTGTCACTGTATTCTTACAGTGCTGAATCACAATGACACCTTAGAACGTTCCTGTCTTATCTAAACACAATAAATGCACCTAGAAGGTCTGATACTGAAAAAAGCATAGAGTGCACCCTTTGAAACTCTGGTTGCTAAATAATGAAGAAAATAAGACCAAATTAACTATGACAAGCATATGTTTACTTATATGTGCGATATATCTGCAAAATCAGGTTAAAGAGCTCAGAGATTATAAAGGAAGGTAATTAAAAAAAAAAGGAATCGAAAGGGTTTTTCTCCAAGTTGCCTTTTTTATCTTCTGTTAAAAGATAATCTTTTGCTGGGCTCTTATCACTTCCATTCTAGTAGAATTGTGCTAATGACCACACAAGGAGAAAACCTACATTCCCCCTCTGGAGTTAACATGAAGAAAATCTTACAATTCAAAAGAGCCTGACCTGCTATGCTAGCACTGAACAAATTAACAACGTACCACAAGCTCATAAATAGTACTCTCTGGAGTCTTAAATGCCAACTTTTTTTTCCTCTAATAAGCAGTTTTATCAGAACTTTAAACTTGAAAAGTTTAATTCCGACTGTAATAGTCTTGAGATGTTTATTTAGAAATACTTTTGCATCACTCAGTAGATTTAATAGAAAACTATAAAAGTGTTTGGAATATAAAATACTACCATACCACTGAGATATAATTTCACACTTGTCTTTTCTCCTCCTAGAATACATAATTGTTTTCTCGTATAGAGTCTTTCCATTCCAAATCCAGGACTGGTACTAAATGTTGTATATTGTGATTCAAAAGTCACAATGTTTCCCATGACAAATCAGAATAAGGCATTACTAATGGTCCAGTCCATAAATTCCTATGAGGGAAAAAGTTTTCCTCAATGTGACTTTATTACTTTGTGCTGCAGCAAAAACTCAAAGTGTCTTCGGTATTGATATGTCTATTACTTGTCTGTCTCCCTTCGAGTACAGTGATCTGGCTAAGGTAATAAACTTCAAAGAGACAGATTGCTCTTACTCATTAACTCAGCAAATGAAACAAAAATGAGTTGGGGTTTCCTAGAGAAAACCAGAACTGATTCTTGACAACACATAGAAGAATGCAGAAAATATATCTGGACCAATACTAATAATTAAGCCTGCATAACAGCATGTTACTACAGAAATTCAAAGTCTGTAAAACTCAGGGGAAAAAAATCAGATAAAATAACAACTTCTTCCACAATTGATACAGATACAGGGTAAAAACCTGACCCCTTAGAAGGCAGCAAGAGCTCTGGGGTCATGGTTTGTCCATTAGCTCATGTCATTCATTCAAACTTCTCATCGTACTTTGTGACATTTTTAATTTTAAAATTCTCCTTTATTCTATGCAATCACACTTAAAATTAAAAACAGCTGCAAATTTTGGCTGAATTTTAAAAAGTATTTCTATTTAAAATATAGGCCACAACACATAATAAAACCCAAGGCATTATGTTGTAAATAGTCCAAAATATAACAGTGAATACATTTAGGCAGAATGCAGCTATTTGCTTTACCTTTACAGAGGCTGTTTAAGTTTAGTTATTTCAGTCTGCTCCACAGTGATCAGTTTTCTGAAGGAGAAATGCTACCACAGTCAAGAATTTCAGCAAAGAGGCTGAAGGCTGAACATCTAAGAAGCTTCACATCTCCTGAGACCCTTAAGGATGTAAAGGTGGAACAAACCATCTACGTGTTCCTTGAAACCCAGAACAGTCCTTGATCAGATCAAATAATCATTACAGTGTAACAGGCCATCCCAGTAATGCTGTTTTACCTCTAGCCTCATTCTGGAAACTTGCTCTTGTATCTTACTGCCACTGGAGCAGTCCCTAATGTGGGAAAAGCCTTCAGAGTTTACTTGAATCAGTGGCTACCTGCCACCAAATCATGAACAAAGATTTGGCCCATTGGGCAATATTTACTTTTGTCTTGAGAAAAGACCCAGGTAGGAGTCGATGGTGGGGCTCCATAGGATGTCAGCCTGCTATGGGCCATGATGTACATTTCCTTAGACCAAATGAAAAACTTCAATCCCAAAGACTGCAACTTCAGCAAACTTCAAGGGAATTAAACACAGACACTTCAGTAGCCATGCTGGTATAGAGACAGAAAAATGCCTGAGACTACAGAACAATCCTCAGTATGCAACTTGGAAACCCTGAACCCTGGGTGCTCCTTGTCTGAAAGCACAGCAGGACTGTGTGTGGGATTTCAGAGTCCTGTCAGACACCCATGTTTCCTGATCAAAGCAAAGAAGGATGGAGGAGCAGTTTTTCTGTGGAATGTCACTAGTAAGGACTGTGGGATATTACAGAATCATAGAATCAGAGAATAGTTTGGGCTGGAAGGGACATCAAAGATCATCAAGTCCCAGCCCCTGTTATGGGCAGGGACACCTTACACTAGAACCTGTGGCTCAAAGCCCCATCCAGCCTGGCCATGAAAGATTCCAGGAATGTGGCATTCACAACTTATGTGGGCAACATGTTCCAGTGCCTCCCCATCAAAGTTTTCTCCCTCTCCCATTCTGTAGTTGCAGCTTCTAAAAGTTTTGCACCTGAAACCTAATGTATATATACATAACAAACCTGAGGTGACAAAGACAATCACAAGTGAAGTCTGGGCCCAAAAGCAAAAGGTGTGGCTTTGTTGGGAAAAAAAAAAAATCCTGGGATCTTGTCTTGGGGTCTCTTCTGCCGGGAGACAGCAAGGGGCTTGTGTAAAACTTTTTGTGTTTCTAATTTGAATGGTGAAGAGCTTGTGGTCTTTTCTCATCCTGTTTCACTGAGGCAGTTGCCTATAATATCCCTATATATGAGTAGAAACTGTCAAAATCAACAATAGGAGGGAAACACTTGGTCTAGATCTGAAGCTTCTGTAGTTACACTGGTGAAATCAAATGCATGGCATGTCATTGCCTATTCCTCCTTTCAGCATCATGATTCCATTAGATAACATGGGACTTTAACAATTGTAAATGCAAATATAAAGAAAACAGAAATGCAAATTTCTGTTTATGCATTGAAAGAAATCAAAAGCATTGCTTAATGCCTCCACAGAGGCAGTTGCCATTTGAATAAATCAGCTAATATTAACTGTGATTTTCATCTGAGTGGCAGAGTTTTGCTTTCTCTAAAAGAGACTACAAACCACCAACTGTGAAAATATTCAAAAACTTAAAAAGAAAACATCAGAAATATTAGAACAACTAACTTTTACCATTAGTTAATTAAAAAATCTGAGTTCTCATGTGAAAAGCTTTCATCACCTTAGCCCTGACCTGTGCTCTTTAAAAAGATGTGTTTTGTTCCTTCCTGCTGCATTCCTTCTTCCAAAAATTTTCTTTTAGAACCTATGTCAAAAGAATTTTTGAGAAGATGAAGATAGAGGTAAAAAAAAGCAACCCCCACACTGTTCTCTTCATCCCCAAATTTACTAAGAAAGCAAAAGGTATTCTGTAAAGATTAACGCTTTCCTCCGGTTGATTCCATTGGTATAAAATGAATCCCTGTTTATAGCCATAAATACTTTATAACTTGATGTTCAGAGATATGACCTAGAGGGTACAAACTCAAGGTTCTGTGGGCAGAAAAGAGATTTGAATTCTGGCTCAGCCTTCAATCTAACATGTGATGGGGCTTTCATATCCTCCAGAATATTCTGCAAGTTTAAGCTGACATTTTCTTTGGTTTTGCCAAACCTTCCTAAGATAGAAATCAGTTCCAAGATGAAGGAGAGTTTTTATTTATCTTAAAACAGAACTTTCTTCCTCCTCTTTTCTGAGAAAATGCATAAATTTAATTTCAATCCTCACTTTCTTGGGTCTACGTAGCTTTATCACAAGCATCTTGGAATTGATACTAGTTTTCAATCATAATTTTCAGGTACTTAGCTATTTTGCCTGTTGAAATATCTCATTTACTGAGATCTTGCAGACTCTTGGAAACATGTCATATACAGAGCTCTGCAAACTCAAATTCAGGGATATTCTCATGTGCAACCTCATATGTGGCACTTAGGGACATGGTTTATTGGTGGATTTGGCAGTGTTAGGTTTACGGACTTGATTCCAAAGATATTTTCTAACCTGGATGATTCTATGATTTGTTTTTTCAGTTACAATGAGCAGCATGTATTATGTACACGTCATATTAAAGTTAATGCACGAGTTTATCTTTTAATAACTTTCTGCAGAATTGTCAAACACAAACAAAAAATCATGCTTCTTCAAAAGTAATCAAAGTTAGACAATCTTTCTGCCTCTAAGGAACTAAGTGAATCTTGGCTTGTAGTGCCACAGTGTCAGCGAATGGCGCATGTCCCAAATCTAGACACTTAGACTGTGCACAGGACTCCATTTGCTCTCTGAGAACATCAGCCCTCACCCACTCTGTGCATGGGCAGATTATTTGGTGAACTTGGACATAAACCTGGAATAAATTACATGACGGTAAATTTTATTCTTGTTCCGTTCTTGCTGTTGTGGCCTAAGAATTAATACTGCACAAGCCACGGTGGTAGCAACGATACCTTGTAAGGTGTACGCTTATGATCTATGGGTGCCTCCCTGCTTAAGGCAGACAAATGGGATGGTACTCAACACACACGATCCATGCAGGATTGGGATACCTGTTGGGATACTCCTTGATGATCTGATATATGCTAATCTGAATGGTTTCATTCTCAAAGCGGCTGTTGCTCCGATCTTTGTATATCCGGAACTCAGCGGCTGTCACTGCCTCTCCGTGAGGGATCTGAGTGAGGTCAAAGCGGAATTCTTTGTAGTGCCTTCGGTGGTGGGAGAAGTCCTTGTCCCTTTCAACTGTGAGAAAAAGAATTTAATGTAAATTAAAGACGTGAAACAAATGTCCATTTCCCATGATTAATGGAGCATTCCCTCTGCTTGGGGGTTAACAAACATGACAATATAAAACTGTGCAAATAATAAAACCACAAGCCCAGACATACTTCCAGTTAAAGGAAATTCCACCAGCCCAGTATCTTCAGTTCAAAAAGAAAAAAAATCTCCGTGGTTTTTATATAAATTCCAGAAGCTAGAGTGGAAAGAATCTCAAAAAAAGCTGAACAGGGGCATGTAAAGTAACTAGAAATATGGACAAACTAAAAGCTGTGAAAGGATTGAGGACTTCAGTGTAGCCATAAGCACAGCAACAGCAATGTCATAACTATTGATGACTTTGGAAAATACTAATTGCTTCAAATAACCAGGCTGATGAGAGGAATGCAGCTCATTTCTGTTTAACATAATAAAAGTGGTACTAAAGTGCACTGCAACAACTATATAGTTAAGAAGCAGTTAAGTCATATAAATTAACACAAGTTGTATTCTAATGGCATGCATGGCATCTTTCCAGTGGCCAGAAGAAGGAACTGTGGGTCAGGGCCAAGAGGTTCTGGCAACCCAGCAGCATAGGATGTACAATTCTGGCTTGAGAAATCCCCTCAAACTTGTTCTTGGTGGGCAGGTGCAGCTTCCACTGCTTCTAACATTGCCACAATTTAAAATAAAAAAGCAAACCTAATGATTGCTTAATTGAGGTTTGTACAGAATTTAAGAGGAACAAAACAGAGGATTTTAATTTATAACTGGTTTGGGTCCATTTCCATTGTCTGCTGCGGTTCTGATTCTGAGTTAGGAACAACTTTTGCAATGCAATATATGTTTTGATGTGACAACGGAAACTACAGGCCATAGTACTGGCTGATGATCGCCTTATGGGATTAATACTTCAGATTTTAAGGATGTAGAAAGGAAAATGATCCATGATTTCCACCTCCACAGAGTACAATGTATCATTGGCCTATATATGAATAAGCTGTGCTCCATGGGAAGACAGAATTTCTCTTCTTTCTCACTTCTGGAAAAGTTCTACCTGCCTTATGACTTACATGCTTTGTTTAACTGATGGTGGACAAAGTATAAAATGCAGACTTGGGATTTGGTTTAGATAACCAACTAAACATTTATGACTGCACTCAGCTTCCCTAAACACTCTTGTCAGTAACCTCAGCTCTTTTATTGCATTTAGTCCACAGATCTGAGGGAGGAACAATGTCTGTTCTGGAAAAAGCACCCATTTGCATTACTAAATGCTACATGTATAATAATGTGGAAATTATTACAATATTTATACTTACATGCTCATATATACATCCCTCCCAAACAATTTTTTTTACATACATAATGTGTATATGTTTTCATGTATATACATATAATTATATAATTTTATATATAAACCTACATATCTGTATCATTATAATGTATATGTTGTCTTACAAAATAGAAATGCACTAAAAGAGAAAAAAATAATTTTGGGCTTGCCATATAATGGTATAGTTATGGACATATTAAAGTGGGAGCTATTGAACAAACAGTATTTAATACTATTTTCAGAGCAGTAGTTACTAGTTAAGTCACCTGTGGTCATATAACTAGTTCTTTACAATGTACTTCCCTGTCATTTTTTCAAAAATGTAAACTCTCCTTACTTACATTAGATTTTTTTTTTTACATACAACTCTGTATTGCCTTAAGAACCACCACAAATAAAATATATAGGCTATAAGAACACTTTATCTTCAGTGAAAATGAACTTTCTCCTGGCTGACAAAAGGAAAATTGTCTGCTAACTGTGAGGTTTACTTGGCTCAAGTGCATATTTAGCTTACATGGGTTTGCCATCGAATGCTGTGTAGAAAAAGTAAAGCAGAAAAGCAGCAGAAGCATGTAAACTGGCTGCTCTGTACCTGAAGATGAATGGGCTGCTACTGAAGAGAAACAGGATACAGTCTATTTAGCAGCTCCACTGCCCAGTTCTAAACCATGAGATATATACAGAGATCTGACTTAAGGTTTGAGAGTTGTTTGCTTTTTTTTTTAAATACCCATGTAAAGCCTTTCATTTCAGAGGAGCCTGGCAGAGATTAGCATATGCAAAAGCACTGAGCCGGGAGGGATTTTTCTAGTACAGAGTCTGCTCCAAGTTTCTGAGGTTATAACTGAGCATTTCAAAATTGTCATGGAACAGATATGTCAATAATCCTCAAACGAGAACTATATTTAACACAGACTTAGTATAGTGCAAACCTTTCTGCTGTCTCTGAATGGTATTTTTTCAACCAGCATGCATGGATAACTCAGCACTACTCACTGTGAGTAAATACTGAATAATTAGGCAGTGAATAAAAGGCTTAAATGCCACTACTCCTGGACTGATTGATTTTTATTTGGGTTTGAAGCTTCCTTTTGCCTTGTTTCTACCAAGTACTTTCTAATTAGTAGCATCAGTTTGGAAACACTAGTTGTCTCCCTATATGCTGTAGTTTGGACAGAAGCCTCCACAATACCCCTGACAGTATCAGTGGGGATCTCTCAGGATCACTCACAACTGCTGAAAGAACACTGACAGCCACTTTCTGGTGGGCCTCAAATTAATTGCTACAACTCACACAGATAGTACTTATCTGTGTTTCCACGTATATACCCTAGGAAGACACAGCACTGCCACCGGAAAGGGACACAAGTTCAAAATTTCTTTGGTTTGAGACAGCATGTACAGGCAGACCAGGATTTCAGAGAGGCAACAGTCTGAAGAAGTGGAGGGCTGTAGAAAACAGGCACTGAACAACACTGCAAAAACACCCCAAGTCCAAGTAGGTCCCATTCTGCAGTGAATCCAGAATGTCTATCTGCAAATTTATTTCAGCCAATGTATAAAGCAAACAAACAAAAAAAGACATGCATACAAATGTAAACAACTTTAAATCTTGCATTATATAGCAGACTACCAAAAAGCAGTGTTGGTGATGTTACAATAATGACCAATGGTAGCCAAGTTAAAACAGTAAATGTCATTAAATGATATTGAATATTTTATCACTGAAAATAATACACAATTCTTGGTCCCTTCTGCATCTAATAAATGCCTCATCAGGCAAGACTGTGAATGCTCAGCAGGGTATCTGTCAGATCCTTTGTCCTGTTGAAATAGCATGAAGTGCAGGGAGGCACCATTTTTCAAATATTTTTATTTCACAGGCAAGAGCTTTTCAACACTGGTAGCCTGAAAAACACAGGTTAAGATTTTCAAGTATTACATCCTTTCAGAATGTTCCCATGTCATTCCAGCCCTGCCCAGTACATCTGCCAAAATGCATTTTTCTGGGACAAATCACAGCATCTAAAAACCACTTGACTAGAAAATCTTTAAGTATTTTTTTTTAATCACTGGAGGAATATAATTTTTCTAAGTAGAAAATAAGTAGAATATTAGGGGAAATGCTGATTACAAAAAAAAAAAAAATCTTCCTTTGCTCTCATTGGTCAGGATTCCTAGCACTTACTTTTAAAATGGAATTTTTATACCACTTGAAATTAATATATGCAGCACTAGAGTTACATCAGACAAATCATGGCTCAGGGGAATATCACAAACACCTGTGTGTAAGATGGGAAAGAATTATGTTTTCCACCCATGTGGCAAACTGATGAAACATTCACCCTGTATTAACACTAAGTTCAACTCTAAGAAGAAAAAAGTCAAATTTACAGGAAAAAAGGTATTTTGGAAAAGAGGACTTCTTTTACACCAAAATAAAATATCATACACTGATCTTCATTAACAAAACTATTTCTTTCATGGGCAAAATAAACAACTAAAAACACAAAAAACATTTATATAGATGTATAACAAGTAATCAGTATTTAGAAATTCAGCTATAAATATCTGATTGTGTTGACTGGGTTAAAAAATATAAAAACTGCTAGCAATGAGTTTAGGTCATAGTGCATGAGGACTATAGATGTGGTCTTTCATTAGTGATTAGCTCCACACTGATATGTTCTTTTCCTGAGGATGCTGGTGTGTGGCTATGACACATAGGCAAAGTGAAAGCTTCTTTGGCAAATGGGTAACAAACCAAAGATATGCTGAATGACATGTTATAATAAGCTGATTTTACAATATAACACCCCAGGATGCCAACAGGCTTCACAACAGTGAAATTAATGTCACTTTTTAACTACTAAATATATGCTCCAAGACAAAATGGAGTCTTACAGACCTGTGTAACTATAAAGCGACATTTACACTAATCTCACTGAATTTCACTGTTTGACTCTAAATTCTTTGTATAAGTACTAAGTAAACCAGTCAGTTTTAATCACTCCAAGGTGATAAAGTTTACAGTAAGCTGATACACTACAAATGACACTCATTTACATCTTGAATATAATGAAATGATAGTTTATCTACAGTGAACACTTGTGGTTATCTGACCAAAACAGGTCAAAGGTTCCAGGCATTTTCTCCTGAAATTACTCAGTGCTGCCTCTAATGACTGATAATTGAAAGCAGAGACTGGAAATATCAAATGTGGTAGGTGACAGATAAGCAACAGATTAATGCAAGTACTCTGTTACAGGACACTGAAAGGTCAGAGGCCCTAGGAATTAGCTATTGTGCTACTGTGAAAAGACAGACATCAAATAGCTGTTACCCCATTCTTGCTCTTCTCTTGCATTCAAATTCCAGTCTCATAGATGAGACTGTTTAGAGTGACTCACCTTTCATATATTAAGGCAACAAATGTTTTGTAGGTTGTGTGGAAATGTGAAAAGTGACTCTAGAGAAACATACAGGATTAAAAAAAAAAAAAAACCAAAACAGCTATGCTGGGTGTAAATATTTTGATGAAGAGCATCTGAGAGAAGGACATTCATCAGAATGTCATTTCAGTTGAAGAGAGACCATATTACAGATTCTAAGATACATATTTTGGTATTTTTTAAGCTTTGTTACT